ACGGAGCCGGCGGTGGTTTTGGACGTGGTTGAGACCGGAAGGATCGGAGGTGGGGTTGGGTTCGACATTGCGGGTCGGTGGATCTGATCGGATCTCGGATTTTGGATCTCGGATCTGATGTTGTGAATTTTGGTTTTGAGGGATTTTGGGGGGTCTTTTTGGTTATAAGGGAAGGAGGGAAGGGGGTGTGGGCTAAGAAAAGGAAAGTCGATGGAAATAGGAGGGGAAGTAAATTAGGAGAGGGAAGTTTTACGGTTCTTCTTGCTTCGTCTTTACGCGTTCGCCGTCAAAAGCCGGGTGAAATGATATCACCCGGGAATTTTCAATTTCCACTCTCTCTTTCCCAGAGGATTTTGTATTTGTATAATATCGTCACAAAGTCTCAAATCCACCGCATAAAATCATCTCCAGTCCACATGATCGGCCTAAAATAAAACAAGCAAAACTTGGTGGATCCCCTTCATACTACTTATTTTGCCTTAATTTTATGACTTCTGTTTAAATTATCAATTTATGTTTAGTTTTAATTTGCCTAAAATGGGTTCAACCCAAATTTCAACTTCTTTTTTTAAAAATCTTTTTCTTTCAACAAAGTGCACCACGTAAAATTTTTGTCTTACACCATCAGATTTACAGGAAATCTGTTGGAGAATAAAACAGCACATGCACCGAGTAAAGCAAAGGAAAGAACACAGCCCTAAGGCAGAGATCAATGGAGAGAGTTTCATAAAGTCTAAAAGAATACGGACTAGATCAAGAAGTGATTGGTGATAATGGGGCTCTCATGGATTGCAATCATTATGGGGGCAGGAAACTATGGCTACTCTGCACTGAAAGAGTGCACTTTCAAATATCTAGTTAGGAAGGCAACCCAAATTTAAGATAGACAACAGACCCGAACAGATGCACACACCGAAGAAATGAACCTTAAACCGGGATTGCCAACTATGGGTACCATAACATCATTGATCATTACCCAGGGAACACGATTCCCGAATGCGAATGTAAGCATACAAAGCCTTCAAAAGTTCCATTAGGTTCTACTAAACAAAAGCACACATACAGAAAATGCCAATATCCTTTCCAGTATTATCAAAGTACTGTGGTACCAAATCATCACTAGATATAAAGCTGTCTCTGAATAGAGAGCATAAAGTTGAGGAGAAATTTAAGATACTGCTCCGATGGAACACGCGCTTTAGAAGGTAGACCCGTTCCATCCAAAGTTGGAACCCTGCGGAATAACAAAACACCAGAATCATCTAAAGTGGCAACAAGTAGAATAAATTGCAAATCAACATGAATTTGATTCTTGAGAAAGACTAACAGGAGCTATGCTTAAGACTTTAGACAGTAAAGACTTATTTACATGATCTAGTTCTGGTGTAAAGCATGCAAACACTGTGCATATTCTTGACTTTGATGGGCCTAAACAAACAGGAAGAATGCAATGAGAAGAAACGCGTGCACGACATGACACTTTTCTATGGAAAACTTGAAAAGGTGAGATGGCTTGCCTTGGTGTCATAGAACTTGAGGAAAAATCGTGACTTGGGCACAGACAACTTAGTCTCAAGAATTGCGGCAATTGCAGCACTCAACTTCTTGTTCACATCAGGGTTAAGGCCACCAATGGAGACCAACTCACCATAGGCAGCTGGCTGCTCAGTCCCACCAAAAGCTATGGGTACTGATCCCTTCAGCACAATCATCACATACTGCATATCGACAATCACAATTTACATAAGAAGATCTCAAACACGACCAAACAAAAGAAGACAATAGTTAAAAAGGGAATTAAGCAAACAAGTAATGGAGCAATACATCACATACAAAAGCATCGAAACATCACTATAAACCTAAAAAAGTAAAATTCCCATCCAATATCAGTGGAAAACTAAAACACCTTCTCAACCAATTCCGAAACAGAACTCAGGACACATCGGTTGAGTTGTTGGAAACTCGGATGCTATCGTTAAAAGACATGCATATAACTCTATGATTGCCCTCTTCCAGGAATACTCAAGAACCCCAAGCCCACCAGTTCGGTTAGAGAACCCTTTTTCTATGGCAAGCAAAGCGAACTACAGAGGAGGTACATTGCATTGCTTTCCATAAAATATTAAGTTACTAAAGCAAACCTCAATCTCTAACATCTACCACTCACTAATATTTTTCATTTGTTTGGTGTTCCAGTTATGCATCGTAGAATCAAAAACAAATTACTGAAAAGTCAACCTAATCAAAATTCCTAAACCAAAAGTCAAAATTAGCAAGACTTATAAACCTACTTTTGTTTAAGCTAAAATACCAAATATTGATCATCAAGCAAAAATAAACAAAACTAAATTCGAAAAGGAACATGCATCTACCTAAAATTTAGAGTTCAACACAAAATTCTAAAATCTGAGTAAATAATGCGCGAGAGAGAGAGAGAGAGAGAGCCGTACGGCCTCGGGCTTGTTGATGATCTTGGCGACGGTGGAGGTGGCTTCGGAGAGGATAGAGGAGGTGTCTACTCCTTCCAGGCTGACGTTAGCTGAGATGTTGAGGCACGGCATCGTTTTCGTCTCTGAAACTCCCTCACACTTGACTGCTTCTGCAAATGCTCTGGTAATAAAAAAAACCCTCACCTCGCTCTTGTCTTGTCCCCTTCTCTTTTATGGGAGAGATATAATCTCAGTATAATACACACATTTTAACTTCCCAAAATGCCCCTTTTGCCATCAGCACACTTGAAAGATGGGTTTGGCCCTTTGTTCTCATTCTTCGAGCCCGTGTTTGATTCGATCAGAATAAGTGATTTGGATCCGTTCTACCTCTATGGCCCTACTCATGTTTTGTTTCAAAAAACTTCCTGTTTGAACTTGGGCCTAATTTTGGGCCGAGGTCAATTTTGACAATTTTTATACTCTCCCATAAAATAGAGAGAATTCAACCTCCAAAAACCTAAAGGTTCTTCCTCAAGGTTGGTTTTATGGAGGATGAATTGGGATCTGAGATCAGGTTGAAAGGCCTAGTTTGATGGACAACATATGTATACTTCCGTAGTGTAGTTAGTACGATGAAATGAAAAAATGACACACAAAACAATATAGGTTTCATTGTTCATAGCGTCATATGTTCCTAACATATTTTGAGTACAATTTATCTTTTTACAATTGTCATATCCTATACAATTTGACATGTTATTTTATTAATCAGTGCATAATGTTAAAGAAATGTATATATATAATGATAGGACAACAACTTCCCTGTACATAGAAAACGTACTTCTTTCTAAAAGCCACACCACTTTTATGTCTAACATAATATTTTTGATTGACAATCTTTTAACATAACGTTTCAAACCGTGTGACAACATAGCTCTATAAATGTTGCTGCTACAACCAAAAGAATGGTCACCTATATCCCTTCTGAATGCAAAATATAGAAAAATAACTTGGAACAGAGAGAGACAAGGTGGCCGGATTTCCTTGACTGATAAAGTTTTTCTTCATCAAAAAGGGCAGAAAATAAACCACTTTTTGGGCTGGTATTTTCTCCACCTAAAGGCGATAATGGTGTGGCATCGTGTATGCCTTTTTTTTTCTTTCTTTTTTTTGGCCTGAGTGACATGTCGTGTTTAAGATCAATTTGAGTCGGTCAATTTTGCCACAATGATATTGATAGATTAAAACAAAAGAAACAGAGCCATGGTACCAAATTCTACAAATCATATCAGAGAAAAACCATTGGTCACTTTCATTTGGTGGGTTTTGTCCTGCTACAAATAGAAACACTGCACAAAACAATGCATCTTTAGCCTCCTTTATTTCTTTGGCCAACAAATGCGGAAGACAATGAACCTAAACCTCAACCTTTCTTTTATCTTTTTTGAATTCCATATCAGAGCTTAGACCCCGTTGCAGTACTTATATCAACAACTTTAAGAAAAAATCTGGTCTTTGGGATTGAAAGCTTGGCCTCCATGATCGTGCCAAGGGTGGCAATCAGCTGCCTCTTCACTGGTTTGTTAATTCCACCCATTGCTACTAGCTCACCATATGCTGCTGGCTCACTGGTGCTCCTGCCAAATGATATGGGCACCGATCCCTTAAGCAACACCATCACATACTGCACCAAAAGCAAAGTGTGTGTTCAAGGATTAAACATACAACTAAATGGGATAATTAAAGAAAATCTTGATTTGGAATAATTCTGAAAGGGTAAAAAGCGTTTTCTGATAAATATTGTTCAGCAAAAAAATTTATAAGTGCTTCTGGAATCACACTTCCAATTTTTTGACATTCTTCTAAGAAAAGTGCTTCTATACAAATATTTTATAAACAAAAATATTTCCAAACAAAACCTTAGTGTGTCAAGAGTCGAACTATGCTGAAATGGGTTGATGCAGACACCAACCAACAGCAAGGCACTCATATTATTGAGTGGGAAAATGCTCAAAAGCCGGAAACAAATTGGTGGGGCTCCAACCAGTGGACAGACAGCTACTCCAATACTTAAATATCATCAAGTGGTTCCTATTTATCTTGTTTATCCGTTCAACTGGTCCTAAGAAGAGCTCAGCAGCTGACTTCGGATTTTTAAACTCAAGACCAAAATTATATACAATGGTCATGGCTTTTCGAGGATTGGAGAAAAGTCACTCTGGGGCTGCCCTCCCTAGTCAAATGGGACTAGTCTCACAGCTCAGTGCATGTTTGGTTAAACTGGGCTAATGTCACAGCTTGCCAAACATTCTTCTTCTCCGTAACCACTAACTCCAAAACTTTAAGTTGTTACGAAACGCCAAAAACCAAAGAATTGTTGATGTAATGGGATTAGAGGTGTGAACTCAAAATCTCCTACGCAACTAAGTACTAGTATAATTTCAACAAATTATTAGAGAATGAGTCAACAATGTATATCAAAACGACACATCACGTATCATATCAGTAAAACCCCATTAGGCACTAGCCCTGGACAAAAACCAGCATAAACAAACTACAATATGCAGCCCTGTTGTGGTTTGACTACCAGACCAACTCCCCTTGCTCCTCCTTGAGATTTGCACAGATTGCCCCCATCTGCGCTGACTTTGTAACATGGGGCTTGGGGGGCGTCCCAAGAAATTCCAATCTCACATGGTTGAGAGACCTCGATGCTCATTGATTTACAGAAGCCAAATCTTTTCAACCTGCTACTCTATTCATACAGAATCTGGGCAGACACTAACTAAAAGCAATTGATATGATTTTAGATACTAAAAAGAGAAAAAGGTAACCCAAAATCAAATCTCCCTTGTGAATTACAAAAAAAGCAAAACACAAAAGCAGAACAAGTGATTTCCCAGTATCTAATTGCTACTGAAGAACAGCCTCTAACCTTTGCTCGGATCAACTAGAAGTTAGCTAGTGGGTCTAGACTCTATAATTTACTTATAAATTATTGGTTTTGGCCAGTTGACATTACCTCATTTGGGTTTTTTTTGGAATAACGGATTACAAAATACCAACTACCATGCATGAAATTGAATTAAGAAACTCAACTTTGTGTGTGTGTGTGTTTCTGAGTGATTGGCATGAGTGAGGAAGAGAAAGAAACTTACGTCTTCGGGCTTTCCAGTGATGGAAGAGATGGCTTTGGTGGCTTCAGAAAAGATGGAATCAGTGTCAAATCCATCTAGGTTCACGTTGGTGGAGATGTAAAGGCAAGGCATCTTCTGATCTTCCTTCTTTTGAGTTTTTGAGTTTGAACTTGGAACCCCTATGTTCAAAAACTTGTTTGTGGGTGGGAGGAAATATGTGAGAGAGAGACAGAGAGACCAAACACCTTCTCTCCATCCTCAATCTTCCTCTAATATATATACACTTACAAACTTGGATACTTCAAACAAATACCAAGTATACCGAATTAAACGTTTTCAATGTTTTGCCCTCAAATTAGATACTTTTCCTTCTTGCCAATATATGATTAGACTGATCATAAATAGATGAGATGTATATTACACTTATAAAGACTGAGGAATCAAAGTAATATCTTCTTAATCTTATTTAGTGCTAAGTAATTACGCTTTTCTTTTATGAACAAAAGTTTAGATGGAAGGGAGAAGTACACATTTTTTAGAAATCCTAGCAACTTTCTCTCCAACCTTCTCCTTTAGACCTTCTCTATTTTTTGTTTAACATGTGTCATTCTCCTTAAGAGAATGTCTGCTTTTAAAAAAGAGAGGAAATGTCCCCTTTTTTTAACGTCAAGTTTAGACTTTTTTTTAATTAAAAAAAGGGACATTTCCTCTTTTTTTTAAAAGCAAATATTTTCTTTAAAAAAAAGTAATTGACGTTAAACAAAATTTAATAAGATGGTAAGAAAGTTGTCAAATTTTTTGGATAAATTGAATACATTTAATAAGGGTAAACTTGGAAAGCAAAAATTAGCTTGTACAATATATTAATGACATTGTTTTAAGTGTAAGAAGAATGACACATGTCAAGCAAAAAAGGAAGAATGTCCAAAAGAGAAGATTATAAAGAAGGTTGCTAGCATTCCCCCACATTTTTTGTCAACTAGTGAAATTGCTTTATAAATTTTGAGGAAAATAAGTACTTTTGAAATGAAAAGAATAACATACAATGTACAATCTAAAAGTGAATATGCAACCAAGAGACTCATAGGTTTTTATCTAGTCTATATCTATATATATAAAGTAAAAGACAGATAATAGTGAAACATTCAAAATACCATTAATTAAATAAAGATAATATGGTAAATTCACACTTTTTTATATTAAAAAAATTAAAATTAAAAGAAAAATCAGATAATGGATCCTATTTTTATGGAACACTTATCCACGATCTTTTTTAATTCTAAAATAAATTTAATTATATATATATATATATTTTTAAAAGTCTATTGCAGGCATGTGCGAAGAGGATAGTATATATAAAGCAAAAGGTAAAAAATGGTAAAAGATTCAAAATACAAAAAAATGTCATTGGTTAATGGAAACATTAAAAATTGAAATTATTAATTAAATGATGATAATATGGTAAATTCACACATTTTCATATTTAAAAAAAATTAAAATTAAAAGAAAAACAAGATAATGAATCCTATTTTTATGGAACACAACTACCCATTATCTTTTTTAATTCTAAAATAAATTAAAAAAATTTATAAAAAAAAACCTCTCGCATGCGCAGAAACATGTGCACAGACTAATTACAATGAAAGAAGTTAATTGTAACTCATATCGCCACTCGTAGACTTCATATTTTACCTCAATTTGCTTAGTCATTTTTTAATATTTAGTGTGGATTGAATAGCGGCCGGATTTGATTGTCTCTGCGAATCTCAAGATGCAATCTTCTTCTTCTTCTTTTCTTTAATCAGTTTTATAGTAGTTCTGCCTTCCCTGTTTTAATTTTCTCCCTTAAAAAACCCTTTAAGTCTCCATTAAACCAGAGATGGATTTGACAGCAGACGTTGACTTGTGCAAGTGGACTGATTAAGGAGCATTATTATGGGAATTTTAATCCAAATTTCTCTCTTTATTTTAGGGTACGCGGTCTTTAAGCACTAATTAGTAACGGAAATGACCCGACAAATTCATGCATTGAAGATTGAATGATTTAGAGGTTTCTAAATTCTGTTCTAGACACAAATATGAACAACGTCAACAAATGCACGTTGTTAAGATATAATGAATTGAATTAAACCCAAATGGTGCTCAACCCATCTTCTTGTATGTTTCATGTTTTTCATATGGGTAATTGACTGGTTATATTATTGTATCAACTTTTTTTTTTTTCATTCTCATACGCCTTTAGAAAGGTTTATATATTTCTTTATAAAAGTGATAGTCCAAATTAACCTAAATTTAAACATGAATGTAACACAAAACTCATTGTCCTAAATAATTAGAAGTTAAGTCATGTCCGCCGCTATAAATAAGTTTTTTAAATTAGTTACGTTGCTGGACTAGTTAAACCTTTCTAATTAAAGGGTGGAAATGGAGGAAGATCGGCCTACCTCTTTGGGAATGGCTATTGCCTCTAAATATTATTATATTAGACATTGATGATTATATTAGGTTTAACGCCATGAGATACATGTAGTTTGATTTGATTTATGGATGCAAAACATGTGTTCTAAAGTCAAGCTATTCTTTCCCACGTAGAAAAACTTACAGCTGCGCAACCTTTCATTATAAAATAAGGTAGATAATCTTCTTTTCCACGACCACAAGTGCTGTTGATGTGAAGAAAACAAAAATATATGAAAAGCAGGAACAAGAAAATTTGAAAAATCGAGAAGAAGTTAAAATATATGGAGGCTTCTCTGTTTGGGAATTGTCTTTTTAATTTTTACGAAAGCCAAAATATTCTCACGTGCAAACTAATTCATTTTTTAAACACATATTTTTAACTTAAAATGTGTATATTTATATCATTACTTTCTGAAAATTTTAAATGTGTATATAATATATATTGTCAACCATAATTGATTGAAATTAATATATATCAATCACCTTTTGAAAATTAAGAGAAATTATAGAATATTACGATAATATAGTCACATGGTACATATTGTATAGGTTAAAAGTCATTTTTGATCCTTATAGTTTGGCACTTCAACTACTTTTGATTCTGTAGTTTCAATTTCGTCAATTTTGCCAATGTAGTTTCATATTTGTAGCAATTCAAGGACATGTTAGTATTCTGTCAAATTCTTTAACGATGCGAGGGCCAATTTCGTCAACCAAAAACCCTTCAGCGTAAAAGCTTGTTTGAAATTCTTCTCATTTTATATTAGGACTCGAAATTCAACCACTAATCCCAATTTTTGAAGGTCCTAAATCCAAATGACCAATTTCAAGCCCTAATATGAATTTAGGAGAGTTTCAGACGAGTTTTTATGCTTAAGGATTTTGAGTTGACGAAATTGCCCTTTACATTGTCAAAGAAATTGACGGGAATACTAACTTGTCCTTGAATTGCTACAAATACCAAACTACATGGTCAAACTCAAAATTGACGGAATTGAAACTACATGATCAAAAGTTGTTGAAGTGCTAAACTGTAAGGACCAAAAGTGACTTTTAGCCTATGTATATGTATTATAATATGTGTGTATGATATTGTTTATTTTTCTCCTTTTTAGGGAATAGTATCAATAAATATCCATTTATATTATAGGGAGTTTATAATACGTGTACAAGATAGATGACGTAGCTGTACTATCGTAGTATTTTATAATCACTCGGAAGGCAGAGGGGTTATTGCAAAATAAAAAAGAAAGAAAATTAATAAATTAGATGGGTTATGGACCGACTGAGTTTGATTATGGACCACACACAAAAGACATGACCCATGAACCGGCCCAAGTTAATCCATGATTAGTCTGTCATCAAACGGTGCGTTTCAATCTCCCGCTCCCGGGGTTTTTTCTTTGAAACACTGGGGTGTAGACTCTACTAGCAGAACCAAGCTAACCTCTGCAATGGAGGACCACGTGTTCCTCACGTGCGACCACCCTCTCAACCTTCCAACAATTTCAACCAACGAACCTCTCTCTCTCGAAGCCCTAGCTTCCCTGAGGTCTCTGATCATCAACCCCTCAACTACCGCGCCGACAGTCTCTTCCGTCATCGAAACCCTAACTCGCTCGCTCCAACTCAGTCGCGACCCGCTCGCCATTCACCACACTCTCAAGCTCCTCACTGACATGGCCTTGCGACGCCCCCACCTCTCAGGCGTCGTCTTCGACTCGGTCTATTCCCACTCGCTCCTTTCCACCCATTCGACCCGCGTCGCCGCCGAATCTCTCGACGCACTCGCTTCTATTGCGGAGGGCAACCGAGTCCTAGCTCCCGGCATTGAAGAATTGGATGACCGTTTATTCGCCTCGCTCTGTTTCAGTCCATCTCGTTCCGTACGGCCATGGCTTCTCAGAAACGCCGACAGGTTCGGTGTACAGCCTCATTTGTTATTCACTCTGTTTCTAGGGTTTACGAAAGATCCATATCCGTACGTGAGGAAAGTTGCTTTGGACGGACTTGTTGGCTTGCGCAAGAACGGTGTTATTGAGGACCCTGACATGATCGAAGGGTGCTACTTCCGTGCAGTTGAGCTTCTAAACGACATGGAAGATTGCGTTAGATCGGCTGCAGTTCGCACGGTGAACTTTTCTTAATAAAATTGATTTCTCTCTGTTTTTCTCTTTTTGTGTGCTAACTTGCTTTATGTATTGCACATCATGAACGAACGCACAGGTGTGTGCTTGGGGTCTAATGCTGGTGGCGTGCAAGTCGGAGACGAAGGCATATTGGTCTGATGAAGTATTTGTCAAAGTAATAGCTTATTATTCATTATATTATCTGTCTTATAATAATTGACCTATTTAATTTATTCTACTTCAATCTTGGCATTGCTCTATGAAATTGAGCTTTGGTCAACAGTCGTCAAGTTATAAACTTCCTTGCTTTAGTTGCTAATGCTCATGCTGACTTGAACTCATACTCACCATTCGTGCTTATACATATTTGTCCAAAGAGTCTTACTAACTTGTTCCGGTCAAATTTTGTCTAGGAGATCATTAAGGAAATCGCAACCCTTAACCCTGCATTGTTGAATGGTAGGACATTCTCTTCCTATCATTCTGTCTCAGTGAGAGTCAGAAATTTGTTGTATAAAGCATCATGTAGAGTTCCTATCCTGATGTCTCATGGATTGCGTATATTTGTAGCTTTGTTCAATGGTGAGAGACATGAGCATGGAGGTTAGAGTTGAAGCTTTTTGTGCCCTTGGGAAGATAGAAATGGTATCTGAGGAAAT